ATCGCCCGGCAGGACGTAAAAATAAACATTTGACACGCCGCCATCGCCGTTCCGAGCCGCGGCAGACTTCGGGGTCTCGCACCAAGTTTTTTCGCTACGCGGTACGCGGGACACGACAGTCCTCCCGAAAGAATACCGCGGGATATCCCGCAATCTCCCGCGTGATATCCCGCAAACTCCCGCGGGATATCCCGCAGTCTCCCGCGTGATATCCCGCAAACTCCCGCGGGATCTCCCGCAAAATCCCGAATCCCGATGATGCTTATCCCGCGATCTGTACTGTATAGGACTATTCAAGCTTGTGACATGTAATTGAGAACAAGAGAAACACAGGCAGATATTGATTATGTAAATCAACACTTAATTTGCATAATTAATGAGAAAATGTTATAATTCCATAATAGTAACTGCCTGGAATTTCATACTTGGGGTATTTGAAAGTTAAGTAAAGGTGAACATCATTAAACATAACTTATTCAAATAAGGACCTTATTTGCATAATTTAAGAGGAAATGATAGAATGGCTTTCTTTGTTAAGATAAGGCTGTCTTTTGATGGAGAATATAATCAAGTAAATCAACTGATATAATTCATGCAAATGAGGATCCTATTTGCATAATCAGGAGGAATAATCTGATTAACATCATTTGGCGAAGGTATGAGATCGTGGGACTCTAGTTTGATATAGATTTGTTAGGTTTCATTCGACATTAGGTCTTGTTCAACACATTTTATTGTTGTTACTCTCTTTATGTAGTTTGCCATACATTGTACCATGTGCAATTGTCGTGCAATAAAGTTCTTCTATAATGTCGCTATGTATTGCCGCAAATGGTTAATCAGGTACTTACTAGTAAATCAAAATCACGTACATTGTAAGACTGGCTTTATTTCAGTCGAGATTGATACACATCGTTCAGTAAAGTGTCTTTTGTAAGCCCAGTACGTAACTCCCATCCCATACAAAAATCTCCCCAAATCAAAAAACTGTCCTTCTATCCAAGAAGCCTTCCAACTTGTCTGCAAATTTGCAAGATTGTATGAAACACTAGTCTCCATAGCATGCCAAAAATTTGGAGTTTTGGGGGTCTTTGGGAGCTTTTATGTACTATTTTCTGATTGCATATAGTCAACATAGCCGGCCTGGTTGAACTACCCCCGTTTTTTTTAACTGGGCTAATCAGAAAACAGCCGAAGACCACCAAACCCCCAGTTCTATAATTATATAAGCCTGCTACGGAGGGTAGTGCAATACAATCTGGAAACCAGAGGCCTACTAGTATATCATTTATTTTTTACTACTTCAGAATCTTCTTCATTACATCTTACCTTACAAAATGACAAACACTGTATTCAATGTACCGTAACAGTCTATAATAATCATTATAGTAAGGATAAAGGAAAGTTATGCACAATAAATACAACATACCACAATCACTTCAACGCGGGCGATTTTTCACTAAAAATGCAGTGATTTGGTGGCTCATCTTCACATTCCCTTATTCTTGCAGTTCAAATCAGACTTTGTTTTTACTAATATCCAATCAGTCTAAAAATGTACATTATCTTAAATTCCAAAATAATGATGCAGTACATACTGTAAGGCCACAGCAAGTAAATTTTATGGATGACATCCTAGGCAGACTCCAAATCTAATGCGAGTGGGCAAAAAAAAACAAGACGGGTCGAAAAAACAAGGTTCCTACATTTTCAAATTTTGACTCAATCATTGTACAAATGGTTTTGCTTCAGTGGCAACATCACATATACACAGCCAGCATCACATATCACTGCATCAAAGTAAAACACAAATCATTAAATCAGAGCCTTGTCTTGTCTCCTTTCTTCATACTTAACTGCAATCTACGTTCCGGCATGACGACATCTTTGCCCATTTTCGGCATGTTGACCACTGTCAGAGGGCAACAAAATCTGTTTTTTTTCAAAATCAGGTGAAAATTAATGCGCGCGCTGATGTCATCCATAAAAATTACTTGCTGTGGCCTAACATACAATGTAGGTCATGGGTGTTAGTGTGAAACTGCTACATTTGCTAGCCAGAAATCATAGTGCACGTATTATCCAACCTAAAATGTGTTTAACCAATTCTACATCACTACAAAAGCCGTTAACTAACACCGATTCCATCTAGGAATGCCTTTTAACTATCACAAGAAGCTATCATGTACACTTGTCCCAATATTTAAAGACATTATCTTTCATAAACCCTTCTATAGAACTTTACATACAGATGTTTAATTTGCAGGTGCACATACAACAATTTTACAGTATTATCATGAAAGTTCATCTATGTTGGTAGTTACATGTTTAAAGTTAAAACTTTTGGTCCAACACAAAACATTCTCTCATCGTCTACCAGATACCTTTGACCCATTGTTGACGCCACACTTTAAAGAAGCCACGTGACAAGTTTCACTGGGTCAGTCTACTGAGGAAGACCAGAGTGACTGGTCGAAAGCTCTAGGTGAGAGAATTTTTTGTGTTGTACCAAAAGTTTTAACTTGAAACAATTTTACAGTATATTAGGCCACACCAATTAAATTTTGACTCTCGGATTTTTTCAGAAAAAAAATGAAGCGACAAGGTGAAAAAAAAAAAACAGCCAAAGGCAGGGTTACATGATATTCACAAAAAGCTATGATAGGAGCTTTTAAGTCAACATACAGAAGGCTGGTTTATAAATTTTCTAATAAACTACCCTTTTTGCCAAAAAAGTGCATTCATTTGATAAATTAAAAACTGTAATAACTAGAAAGTCAAGGAGCTTTATTCAACTGTTAGGACCAAAAATATGAGCATTTTGGAGTTGATTCAAAACCTGAATCTTTTTTTTTTTTGCAAACCGGAAAAAATAGAAGCATGTGAATTCGAGAACCAATTAATCAAATTAGTGTGGCCTTACTACCTGTTACAAATGTATATGACTAAGAAAGAACCGAGAATTGCTAAAGATTGAGTTTAATTTTGTACTAAAACCCCAGCCTACACTATGTTGTACATAGGACCACAACCTTGTACAGGCCTCGAAATACTGGGTGCATGTGCACTTTAGTGCACCCAAATTTGGAGCTGTGCACCCAATGTTTTTCTGTGGGTGCACTGGTACCCAAATATTTTGGTAGGTATTTTTGTACATATCAAATTATAATAGTATGCAGGATATTCTTAGCATCCAAGTGTCAGAAAAATAATAAAATCTTTGTTGTAGTACTTGTTTAAGATTTTGAAGTTAGCTCCCATTTCAGATTCAAGCTCAGAAGAGGAGCAGTAAGATCTGTAATTAGGTTTTGTTTCATATGGTGCACCCCAAAATTTTTTGTGCACCTAATTTTTTAGCTTGTGTGCACTAGTGCACCTATTCCCAAAAATGAATTTCGAGCCCTGTTGTATGAATGATGGTTTATTGTGAAAATGCTTCTTGTGCATTCAACACTCCGAATGGAGGTGTGGTCTTTTGAGGAGTTAATTAGGTTAGTCCTTCTTACTTACATTTTCTAGGCATGGGTAAAGATGTCTACAATAGTTGTAAAGGCTAGTAGTTCTACAGTTATACATCTGTACTCTGATGTTTTTATATGTTGTGCTATAAATTAATGCATGTATATTTGTAATTCACTACTTGGGTTGAACCTACACAGCAAGGAAATGGTTTTAAGGCCACAGCAAGTAAATTTTATGGATGACATCCTCCACAGATTCCAAATCTAATGCGAGCGGGCGAAAAAAACAAGGTTCTTACATTTTGAAATTTTGACTCAATCATTGTACAAATGGTTTTGATTCAATGGGAACATCGCATACACACAGCCAACATCACATTTCACTGCATGGAAGTAAGAAACAAAACATAAAATCAGAGCCTTTTCTTGTCTCCTCTCTTTAAAGTTATCTGCCATCCACCTTCCGGCATGGCAACAGACATCTTGGCCTATTTTCGGCATGGTGACAACTGTCAGAAGGCAAAAGAATTTTTTTTTTTTCCAAAATTTGGCGAAAATTAATGCGAGCGCTGATGTCATCCATAAAAATTACTTGCTGTGGCCTAAGCTGTCGATTTATGGCGTATGATGCCTCTAGCTAACACTTGTGGGCTTTCTTAAAATGTTACAAACTGTCACGCACCTTTGGCAAGAACGTAACACTGTGAGTTTTACAGATCACTATGGGTTAAAGCTACGCTTCTTGAATTTGAAAGAAATACTTAAAGAGAGAGAGCAGCTTTCACCACATATCTGGGTAGAACAGTCACTGTGGCAAATCTATCGCATGTTACACATTACTAGTCATTTAACACTAGTGACTTAGCTATTCACGTTGGTGAAGGTTAGACATCCAGGTAATACGATACGCCAAAAAGCAGTTACTCAAGCAACTGGGTATGATTTTGGAAACGGTCAGACGTTTGAGCTAGCATCCACTAGCTTTCGTCAGTGACTGAGAGACCAGAGGAGAAATGCAGGTTTATAAGCACTAACTATTGATTGAAATGCAAAGACGAATTGTCTTCACTTATTTGCATATCAATCAATAGTTAGTGCTTATAAACCTGCATTTCTCCTCTGGTCTCTCAGTCACTGAAGGAAGCTAGTGGATTATTAACTAGCTGAAACGTCTGACCGTTTCCAAAACCATATCCAGTTGCTTGAGTAACTGCTTTTTGGCATATCTTAGCTATTCACTTAATTTTGTCTATCAGTCCCTACATGACACTTTTCCATGAAGAACTGATACAGTCCTCTTTTTGTAAGCATTTTTACAAACGTATAATTCCCACCTGGGCCTTAAGACCTACTCTCTCATAAAATCTGTCTCTCTTGACTCGTCCTTAAGTTAAGGAAGACGTTCCTTACTCTGGAGGGATGTCGTACGTACACGTACCCTCTCCTGTCGCAGTAGAATCTGTACAGACCTTAACAACTACTGTGTCTGTGTGTGTCCGGGTGTCATTGTGCCTGCAGTAGCCTGTCTATCGCTGCATTTACATCACCGTTTGTAGCAGTCAGAGCTGGAACACAAATAAGGTTGGTTACTGATTGATGTTATTTATGTGTAAAATTTACTTTAATGATATAAAAAAAATCTATTTTATTATTATTATTAGATGGAAAATGATCCACATGCTTCATTGTAGTGTCCCTCAAAATACAGGAAATAGCGTTTCAGGGGGTCAAGATTTAAAAATTTTCCCAGAGAAGCCTGCCCCGGACTCCCCCTAGGATTGTCACGCTTTGACGTTACATGAAACAAAACTGAGATGACAGAAAAAATTTTAGGCTGGCTAGAACAGTTGTACATTGTACATATAAGACACCTTGTACATTGTACATATACAGAGAAACATACCAGCATGATATCATGGTAAAAGACAGCACATGTATGTCTACCTTGTATGTTTGCCGCCCTATTGACGAATCCCATTGTCTCTAATTGCTCCAGTTGGCTGCGAAACCGGACTTCTGGTGGCTGCATCTGGAACACATGACGTGGCATGATTGATCAAAGGATATCACATGTATGAGGCAACTGGCCAGGATTATTGTATTTTCTATAAAATGGTGACATCTGTGCGCACATGACTTTTCGTCCGTTAAAAAAAAAAAGTTTCAATCATACTGTAAATCGTACACCACAGTGTGTTTAGTCACTTGTTCAAATGACCACATAGATTTCATAATGAAGGCACACAATTTTCACAGCATGCTAGCATCAGTTTTGAGGTTCCTAGAGGATGTCCTCCATATAATAAAATTAACATGGCCTAATGGTAATGCTGACAGAAAAGCGGCTCACTGCAGTTCCTCCGGCGAGTGTCTGTAACATCTGCTGTAAGAGCTGCTGCTGTGCCTCTGTTGGGCCTGCAGGGGGCGTTGCTGCACTGGTAGCTGTGGTGCTGGCAGCAGTAGTGGGAGGAGATGTGGTGGGTGTGGAGGTGGAGTCTGTGCTGGAGGATGTTGTTGTTGAGGAGGCTGGGGCCGCCGGCGAGGCTGGTACACCGCCCGGAGGGACAACACTGGGAGAGGGAACACCCAACCTGAACCACACAAACACACACATCACATGCACCATGGCTTTCTCAGGCCTAGTGAAAAACATGTTGTGTTTCCTGTTTCCCGACCGACCCAATTTTTTTGTGGACCTCTGCAAGGGACATAAATTTTTCGAGCTGATCGACCATTTCTATCTCCATGATATGGAAATGACAGGAAACACAACATTTTTTCCTAGCCTTAAAAATAATTAATTTTCTAAAACTTATTTTACAATGTTTCACAACAATCATAATCACTAAATACATAAGCAGGAAATAGTGTCTAGGGGTTATTATTTTGGGGGGAGAATACCAGACCCCTGCTGTAGCCTTGTTTTTGTGTGGTTTCTGCCACAGAAAGTTGCCCTTCTGTACCTGACCCCTACGCTGTGAAAAAATCCTGGTGAGAACCCTGTTACGGTGTGTGCTGCCTTACCCTGGCAGCAGGCTGGGTGCCTCTGCCTGTAGCTGCTGCATGCCCTGCTGGATCTGCATGATGGCCTGCAGCACTCGGGGGTTAGTCACCGCAGCCTGCACCTCAGGGTTCTGCATCTAGAATGGTGAAAAAACACAGGCAAGGTCAAACTTTGTTACAAAGATTTGTAGTGCCACCACAAACTACCGGAAACAGTCATGCCTTCAAATATCAGAGTTATCAACCAAGAAATGAGGTGTTCAAAAACTCGTATTTCCCCAGAACTATTGTAGAATGGAACACCAAGCACAGTTGGGGCATTAAGTGTAACAAGTCGTTCTGTGTGATATAGCTAGCTGCTGCCGAGTGCCTGCGAAGCTCACCAGGTGTGTAATACGCTGAAGGGCGGTTATACCGGCTATACTGATACAGAAGCTGGTGTGTTACGCCGAAGGGCGGTTATACTGGCTATACTGATACAGAAGCTGGTGTGTTACGCCGAAGGGCGGTTAGGCCACACCAATTTAATTTGTTGGTTCTCGGAATCGCCGCTTCAAAAAATCGCAAAATCAAAAAAATTAACATTCTTGTTACTCTCATCTCATCTGCCGATTTTTTTGGGCCCGAACGTCCACCCGGTACGTTCTTATTTTGCACGGTACGTTTATTAATTTTTTGGAAATCAGTAATTTTTTTCGACTACGCGTGAAAAAAATCGGCAAATCTTCGACGTGAAGACGTTTATAAACGCGTATTGTAGCGAGAAACTTGTCATTTTCGGGCCGGTTTCGTCGATCGCCGCGTGCATAAATTTGTCTGAATGTTCCATTGTCATGGGTGGTGCTCATCAAAATACGAACTCCTCAAAGCTCTAAATTAGAACAAATTCTAACAAACTAAGCAAGTCATTTAATATTTACGATTTTTAGCTACCATATTGTATTTGTCGATGTCGATTTACCGCAATAAAATCAAGAAATCGGGTAAAATATTACACAGTCTTCCCCGTAAAAAAATGAGATCTTCCGTTGACCCCAAATGACCTTCTTCCGCAGCGACGCCATGTTGGATATTTCTCGGCCTTTTCTACCACAGTTTTGGCTCATTTTTACGACAAAATCCCGGGTAATATCGCCCAGAAAATATCTGAAGCCCTATCTGGTTGCTAGAGAAGCATTATTTTCTAATTTTAGTGGATTTTTCCCAAAAGAAAAGTTGTCGTAATCGACGCCAAGTTAACGACATGCTGGGATGGTTCGCTGGGATTTTTAGGGGCCATTTTTGAGTAATCGGCACTTCGAAATTTTGTTTACTTTTATGATACGAACGCTAGCAAAAAAAAACAACGCTGCCACATCATGCCCATATTCTTTATTACCCGGTACCCGTTGGATTTTCTTGGCCAACATTTGGCAACGTACTCACGGCTGGACTCAGGCGGTGGGATTGGCATTTTGGCCGTCTCGGGACCGAAAACATGTGGACGCTGGACGCGTTAGACAGGTAGACGCAATGCAAGATTTCTTAACGCTTGAGTCGATGGGAAAAATTCAAGGGACCAACAAAAAGTGGTCGTAATGGACGAGTGGTCTCTATACAGGGGTGGTCGTTATTACAGGTTTGACTGTATGTATTTCCCAACAACATGACATGTCTACATTTGTACTAGAAATGCTCTCTTTGTTGTCTATTTAAATTCCTAATTGCAAATAACAGTTAAAGATTTGTGCATAACAGTTTCTAGTATATCAGTAAGAGCACATTTTAGTATAAGAGACACAGGTTACCCATCAATTTTGGTAATTTTCCGGGGGTAAATTTATTCCGGGGGGGTATTTTTATTGGATTTTGAAAATTTGTCCGGGGGGTACGTTTATTCCGGGGGGATATGTTTATTCAGCAGATCATTAACATCAATAATTGATCCTTGATACATAGGCTATAAAACAGCAATTTTTTAGCATGTATAGTCATAGCTTTGTTCTCAATCCCTTTTCCAGCCTTAGCTTTACCATTTGGGCATGTTTTTTTTTTTTTTTTTGCCCTGTCGCTTCACATTTTTC